TTTATGAAGCTTTAACAGGCTGAAAGGTAAATGGCTGTGTGATATGAACGGTGACTGACGGCTGGAGATCAGGTATGACCAATTGAAGGTATAATTATATACCTGTGTATGTTATGGAACCTGATATTTACAGTATATAAGGAGACCTTTGATTTGGTGCAAAGGTGAAAATTATCAAACCACTGTATCTATATGATATATATATGATATATTTGGAATCCTTGGGTGAAGATGTTTTCGTATGTCAAACTCCCATAGACGTATAGCAAGTATTGTTGGTACCCAGGTACTGGTCATCATCACATTCAACGACTACCAGTAGTTGACCTCCAACCTCTGATGTCACCTATCCTTAACATGTTGTAAACACAGCAGGAAGAATTTGTGGAGACTGTTTGTTTTAGAATTAGGAGAAGATTTCACTGGAATTCCTTGTGCTTCGTGTTGTAAGATAACTCGACCTTTGACCTGTGAAAAAAGTGACAACTGAAATTTCTGGCTGCCATATATGGTAAAACTCAATCAATTACATTTGTAACGAGATGAATATGGATTTGCTGTTTGTATCAGTGAACTAACATTTCTGTGGATTTTATCATTTTCTGTTATGATTTTAACAGCTACAATCAGACCCCTCCACAACTACCGGCAAGGTGGACATTTCTGATTGTGTAAAGATATTATCTCTCACTCCGGACACACTGACTATGGTCTGACCACAGGTATTGTGAATGGACAAGGTATTTAGGAATCATTTGTGATGACTTTGTGATAATGTAAGGGAGTGTTTTATGGAAGATAACCTGAGATGGTAACAGGACAGACACTTCTATACTGATGTTTGGTGGTCTATTGAGTGTAAAAACATAGCATCTATTGGAGGTTTACTTTAAACGTTAGTTGTTTTGTAATACTGTAGTGGAATGATAGAGACTAAGGTTGATACTGTCTGTGCTATTGTATTGTCCACACTCACTTAGTCAACACTGTCACACTGATATTAACATTATTACTGCAGAAGGTCGTGGTACCTAACTGTGATGTCAGCTTGTTTATCACAAATGGGCTACCTGTATAACTGAACACATTACATAGAGATCACCTCTGTGGTCCATTCAACTGTGACATGTCTTGACCATTGGTCAATTGACCAGAAGATCTATATATACTGATCAAGTGTTGGTCACAGATTCAGCATATTGAATATATATACACTCAGAAATACAATGCAATGGGGCATGGACTAACTGACCACTAACTGACCACTAAAGCAGCAAAGCTGGAGGCATGTTTAGCAGTTTCCCCAGTCGTGTCCAGTGTTCTTATGAAGAAGCCTGGTAGGATAGTACACTGACCAGTTGTTTATAGCCAATTGGATGCACATAAACAGGTGCATTAGAATAAACCACTTACCTGTAATTAATACTTACCTGATACAGGTAAAAGACATGTCAGCTGTTCTGATGTCGGTGATATTCTGACAGGTTTATTGTTCGCTGGTCACCTTGAGTCACCACCTGACGAGGCGGTCAGATGAGGATAGATCTGACCAGCTAGTATCTTGTGCTCAAACATCTGTTAGTCTGTACAACTTACTTCAAGCATCCCATTGTTTCCCAGGACTGGACGTAAATTAGTCTGGACACCCTATCAGAGCGGCCATCCATCAGCTTCTGTAGGATAGAAATGACCTTGAGATTCAGAAGTCACCTGAGAAATATTTGTGTTTGGAAGTCTTACCTGGAAGTGTTCTGTGATATGGTTGGATTCTCTGTTACAACTTCGTCACTTCTCCAGTGATGGCCTATATATAGCTTATACATACATGGTCATAGTGTCTTATGTTAGATGTTTGGAGTAATACATCAAATTATTGTTAGATTCACTTTTTTTTTAAATGGATATATGTGAAAAATTAATTTTATGATGGATTTTAATTTCATTATTTAATCAAAACATCAGTGTCGCAATTTTTTTTTTCAGTCATGTCAAATAGGATTTACAGCTGTCAAAGATTGTCTTTCACAAAAGACCATGTCATACAGTCATTATGTTGTGCATACAGAAGTCTTCTTACATGGTATAAGTAAATGTACTTTACAATTTATAAGTATCTGTTAAAAATTTAAAATAGAAGCGTTTGACACCAATCAGGACTGAGCAGAGATTGAAGTGTGGAATATGAAATTTTCAGTAGTATTAAGAAATGGTTTGGGCAGTTAAGATATCAGTGTAATTCAAATTCAGGATCAGTAATTACAGAAGATGTTATGCACTCCAACTTCAGTCAACAAAGCTAGTGTAACTAGTGTTGTGTCCTGTTGAAAAAACCTGTAAACTTAAGGGATTTGGATTTTAACATGCTGTGATCAGCACAGCTTAGGAGGGTGTCTTTTCATCTGCATTAAAACGTGTACAGTGATCTAGGATTATCTCTGTCTGACTAGGTGAATACTGTCTGTAGGCAGTTGTAACTAAAACAGATTAGAAGACATGACTGTTCTATTGGAATGTTTATAAAAGAACAATTGTGGTTCAAAGATCCAGTGTTCAGTACATTTGTTCAACTGTTCCATGGAGTCAGCAGGGTCACAGATGTACGTGGTCATTTCTGTCCTTCTTGGAGTGGCACCAGTGCTGGCCTAGTGCTGTGTTCAGGATGTGAGTACAGCTCACAGTGTGAAACCTCATGCTCACTTGTTGTGAATTGGTTACTGGAAATCATTTACAGTTGAAGGATGGTATATGTTCTGATACAGTAGAATGTAATGTGTGATGGACTGTTAATACCTTGGGATATACCTGTTGTCAGTCACTGTATTTCTCATAACATATAGCCTTTCCAAGAAATCTTTGTGATACCAGAACAATACATAGCATTCTCATATCTGTAAAGGATTTACCTACCAACAGAGAACCTGTAACTATTTTCTGTGTTATTTCTGATATATTTTAAACTTCTGCCATTGTTTTTTTCCAAATGAGATTTAGTCAGGTGAGAACATTAAAAACGGAACTCTATTTACATATTGATTTGAGGGATCCATGTTTACCAGTTTGCCTGGTGAAGTTGTAATGGTCAGTTGATCCTAGGACTACACAGACACAGCATTATGGTCAGTTGATCCTGGGACTACACAGACACAGTGTTATAGTCAGTTGATCCTGGGACTACACAGACACAGTGTTATGGTCAGTTGATCCTGGGACTACACAGACACAGTGTTATAGTCAGTTGATCCTGGGACTACACGGACACAGTGTTATGGTCAGTTGATCCTGGGACTACACAGACACAGTGTTATGGTCAGTTGATCCTGGGACTACACAGACACAGTGTTATAGTCAGTTGATCCTGGGACTACACAGACACAGTGTTATAGTCAGTTGATCCTGGGACTACACAGACACAGTGTTATGGTCAGTTGATCCTGGGACTACACAGACACAGTGTTATGGTCAGTTGATCCTGGGACTACACAGACACAGTGTTATGGTTGGTGTGTTTCTGCCACCATACATGAACAACTGGTGGACTGTTTGATTCAATACATATAGATTTCATTATGTTGATGAATGGTGTTTTACGGGTGGGGAAAAAGTTTCAAAATAACCACACGATTGGAAACAAGAATCGTCGTGTTCATTTTGCAATATTTCCCTATGTGATGGAAATTCCTGGTAGGGGTGATGAGAATGACAATTACAATGACGAGGAGGAGGAAGATGATGGCTGGGACACTGAAGAAGAAATAATGAAATTAGAGGAAAATAATAATTATGATTATGGTAATTAGTTTATAACATTTTGATTGAATAAATCTGGCCAGTCGATGATAAAGATTTTGACCCAGTCAAAACTGAAGCTGTTTTTAGGTACAGATATAAATGGTACTACCATGCAGGTTAAAAACGACAGAGAAGAGTTCCACTTTTTCATGGTATCCTTTGATTTGTATTGTAATATTCTGACGGTGTGTTATAACTTTGGCGTAGAGTTACTTCCCTTTGGTAATGATTCTGTCATTATCCTGAACAACAATGATATGGAAGTTTGAGTCATCAGAGACTTTTTATTAAATAGATATATAGAAAATCAGACTCAGAGAATGTGATTTTACTGCCAGGATGTCGGTTATATATAACACTAGTTTTAACTTGCTGGCGTTTTACAACTTACTACACTAAATTATATATATATTATATAAAGTGTTAATATTAAAAAGTATACAGTAAAGATCATCTATAGAGTATTTGGTTAGTGCTTAACAACTTTCCATAATAACTTATAATTATAATAAATTAATGGGTATTAACTGGTGTTAATGGTTTAATGGTAAAAACATCACTGATGATATTTACCAAATTTAACATGAGCTTATTATAGGGCACCTGTATCATAGATTATATTCTTTATATAGAAACAGGCATAAGTCTGTTAATGTCTGGATTGTAATGGATCTGTCTGTTATTGATAAACTGGATACAGAAGACGAGTATATCACTGTAGACATAAACAATGTTAATTTAAAATATGGCTCTGATATATGAGTGTTTCTAGGGTAACTACAAAACAGTTGGGAGATGTTAAGCGTTACAGTGGCTAGTTTTATAAATTTATGAAAGAAGAAAGTTGACTTAGTTTGATAGCTACTATGTTTGTAGTGGAGTTTGGTTTATTAAGATACTACTGTTCATTGCTATATTTCTTCGAACAGTTAGAAACTTGCTGTTTGATTTTTTGATACAAAGAAACATTTGCTATGATTTGACTTAAATTCTTGTTTACATAGAAATATTCCTAAGATGAGAGATATTTTTCAGAACAATGGCACTGTCATGTCATTTGATTTTGTAAATCACAATCATGCTGTCCTGTTTAAACCTACCATAGTGCCTTTGTTCCCAAGAAAACAAAGCCTCTGCTTGTCCTGATTAGTTGTGCTGCATACTTTTCTTGTCTGTGACATCATTTCTGGCAATGCTTGATTTTATTACAGCGCGACAGAAAAGCTCTGCTTCAAGTGTGTTATCTCCTCCTGAACGAAGCCGACCCCGTGGACGAACCACAACCTCCTCACAATCTCAACGTAAGTATCCCCCCAGGGCTCTGTCCCCTGGGGTGGGGACCTTGGTCCAGAGGCTTGATCGAATTTTGAAGGATTGAAACATGAAATATTCGTTGCGCATGCAATTTAATAAACAGACTGATTTGATGTTGTATTAGTGAATTTTCTTTGTCATTTTGACCTTTACATGATGCATGGTGTGACCTTGACCGGTTATACTAGTATCACATCTTCTCTGAGAATGGAACATGCTACACATTAGTGTGTGAATATGTGTATAGAATATTTACACTTGTTTTTGTCTATTTTATTGTCTTACTTGTATCAATCATCATTATTGGAAGATATGTCACCAATATGATTGGAAACTTGAACACACTGAAGTCTCAGCACAATTCCTTTGTTCTTTTGTAAACTGATTAGTATTTTCATCATCACAGTGAACCTTCCTCACCATTGGACACCATTTCTGTCAAACTCCATCCCAGAGAGTGTTTACATCACTAAGCAAAACTTGTGTCCACATGTACCCACCCTTTGTACATCTTGATTGTTTTACTTTCTTCCATGTCCCTCCCAATTATCAGACCTTAAATTTCTGTAATCTTCTTTCTCTCTATGCATGATCATGTGTTTTCCCTTTTATTCAATATTTAACTTTGTGTAGTGTATACCTAAAGTGAAAGTGAAATATATATGCAATTTGTTATGTATCCAAAGTGAAAGTAGCATTTTTTGTGGTGTGTTTGTATTAACTGTGTTCTAGTTAGCTGCTAGTGACTGCTTGCTATCAACACTTCTAGTGAAACTTGATGTGCACTACTGAACTAGCTAATTTAGAACTAGATGTTGAAATTAACATCTTCTGATTTTCATTAAAACAGTTTTGATTTCACTTCAAATACTAACTTGAAGATCTTTATACAGAGTAATTGTGTTTTAAAATTCATGTTTCAAATTCTTTTCATCTAGGACATGAAAATTTAGTAATAGTTACATATCAAGTAATTTTACGGTGTTATATTAGCTTAGCAGGAAGGTAAATTTGTTGTTAAAATGAAGCATATGCAGCATGTCATGGGAAGGAGGAATTAATTTGTTACAAAAATAATTTTCTTTTTTCCAGGTTTTCTAAAACCTCTTCTAGTTTTTTTATTGAGGCTTTGATTGAAGCAAGTTTCCAATATCTTTAAACAAAAAATATTCTCAGAGAAAACATTTTTTAGAATGCCAAAAATTCTTTGATAATCAAACCATGGAACACACAATAAGTACTTTTATTACCAGATATGCTCTTGTTCTAATATAATGATATGGTAAGAATATGTAAGGCGTGTATTGCTACTGTGAACGCATAATAAGCTGTTGTTTATTTACTTATGTAGTTGTGTACAACGGTCTGTACTGAAATTCCCCTTTGTGTTTTAGCCAACAGCCGTTCAGGGTCTCCCTCGTCGCGTCTAAGTTATCTCACACACACAACAGGCCGCGCAGAGTCCACCATGACTCCTGGACGTCCCCGCAGGTCAGGGATTGCCCGAAGTCAAGGAGCGAGTCGAGAGGGTAGCCCTACTCGCATGAACCTACAGCCAGGTAACAGACATGTTTAATTTTAGCTCATACAGACAACTTGGTCATTAGGCTTTCCCAGAGCTTTGAATGGATACTGTCTGTCTTGGTCACTTCAGTGGTGTCATGATAAGTTTACTCTAATGAGTGCCGTGTTGTAAAGTAAATCAGAGGCAGATGTTGCTGTTATGTACTTGCCTCTATTTTAGTTGAGGTTACTTGGATGCAGGCAGATCATTATCGTTGGAAATTCTTTGATATTTGTTATGTAACTAAGTAAAGCTGGTATGGTATTGAGGATGTGGTAAGTGAGTAATTTGGCCTGTAAATGTTTGTATGTTACAGGTCGTGAGAGAAGGCTGAGTGGCAGCAAGCTACCTGCAAACAAAGGCGGCAAGGGAGGCAGTAAGTATAGAATAAATGATCACTTACCACATGTAAGGTTAAGGATGCTAGGAAAATGGCTTTGTAATGAGGGAAGGAAGAAAACAAAACTTAAAGTCAAGTGGAATTAAATCATGAGCTACTATGGGCATACAGTGAGTACAAAAGAACATTATTTTAAATCAGTACAGAAAAGGCAAGATCCTAAATCGGTTGCCAAAGGACAGGATCTAAATTTGGTAATCAAAGGGCAAAGTCCTTAATCAGTAAACAAAGTACAGGATCCTAAATCAAAACATCAAAGGCAAGATCCTAAATCAGTACTCAAAGGACAGGATCTTAGACCAATATACTGAAGGCAAGATACTTAATCAGTACACAAGGACAAAATCCTAAATTAGTACTCAAAGGACAGGATCTTAGACCAATATACTGAAGGCAAGATACTTAATCAGTACACCAAAAAATCAGTACACAAAGGGCAAGACATTTTACCTTTGACTCAGAAGTAATAATGGTCTTGTACATGACAATAAAATAGGTTTTGTTTGTAATGCTACTGAATAACAATATATATAGTTGTGCTTATTACCAGACATGGGATCATTGCTGTATCAATATAGTTGTTTAGGAATAACACTAAAACATGTTGTTGGATTTTATAGATGTGATGGCCCAGAGGTTGTTACGCCCAGGTTCAGAGTTGGAAGATGCGATGGCGGATGCTCTGGTAAGATTGGTGCAGCAGTTGAACACAAATTCACAAATACACTGTTGTGTTAGGCACCCTCACAAAAGTCACCTCAGAATTCTTTGTTTTATAGAGGTGTTAATATAGAAGTGATGTATTCTTCGTTTACAAATAGTTCTGATTAGAAAATATTCAGAGATATTTTATAAAAGTTGGTAAAGAAATTGTATTTCCAAGAAGTGTTTTATATACGGATAGTAGATTGATAATAGCATAAATTTTTGATTGGACGCAACTGTTGTCTTGTTTTTTTATAAGTCGCCAAGGGGAGAGCACCCAAAGGTGAGACTGATGTCATTGTACAAGGGTTGCATGAATCATCATTATACATGTATCAAATCACAAAAATAATGTTCATGTTAATCTTTGTTTATTGTAAAATATTCATTTTGCATTAATCAGTCTAGTAAAACTGCTAAAACAGGAAAATCCTTATTCAAAATAAGAGAAAAATATTTCACTTATGTTTATTTATAAATGAATCAAGGAAATTTTTTATTACATGTTGTGTTTTATGTGGGTCTTTATTTGAGTTGCTTGTTGTGATACTTACCATGGTGGTAAACAACTCCTTCAGCACCTGATATTTTGGCAAATTTTTCATTCATTATGTTATTTTTGTTTTGAGCAATACACTCTTCATCATCAATCACAAAATTTGATTTTGTTATTTAATTTGCTAATAGTATTGTGCTTATATTTCTTTTTATTGGTACTATATCATAGGCTTCATAAATGAAATTGATAAAACATGTAATTTCCAATGTCCTATAGAGTTTATCCCTTCAGCCTTTTAAGTATGTCATCAGTTTTTGTGTATTTTGCAAGTGTGTCATCATTTCTTGGGTACTTTTTAAATGTGTCACCAATTTTTGTGTACCTTCACATCCTATATCAAATTGATCAATTAACATACTGAATCCAAATAATATGTTTAAAAAAAATCCTTGTTTAAAAATGATAATTGTTTTGAAATCTAATGTTAGATAGGAAAGATGCCCTTAATTAACTTTGTAAATGTTTCATGGTACTGAGGAAATTTTTCTTTCTTTAACTGAGTTCTGAGGCTGTATGCAAAATGTGTAAACTCCAAGAAACAGTATTTACAATAGGTATGAAATAAGATGACTTTCACCTTATCGTTCTCAGCACAAAGGTCCGATGCGGAGACGTTACGACACATATGACTCTGATGATGCGGCCAGTGAAACATCAAGTGTTTGTTCAGAGCGGTCCTATAGTTCTCTGGGACGAACTTCAGAGGTAAGAATTACTTTCACCGCAGAGTTCATGTATGGCCCAAGCAAATCCATAGCACTGGTTTTAGGCTTCCTGTGAATTTTACAGTCTTGTAGCAGTCCTTAGATCATATTCATTAATCTACCAAAAACCTTTCGGTTACAAATATCTTATGTAATCAATGCTTTGTCTTATTCAGTTAGTTTGGGTCATCACTATACTACTGTATATATACTGCAGTGAGCACAAGGGTCCAACACGTAATTACCAATAACTCACAATCAGGAGGTGGGCTTATTACAGGATACTGTAACACTGTATTGTTTGTTACATTTGCCAGGAGTTTGATTTCATTATATTTGCAGTTAGGAACAATGACATGACATTAAATTTCCAGCAAACATTTTAAAAGTGAATCAAAATCTTGGTAATTCCTATTTATAGATACAAATTGATAGGGAAACATGAAACTGAATATCGTGAAGTAGACTAAACCAGACAACTGCTGAATATAATCTCCACGAAATTAAACAGAAGTCTTTGTTTATAGTTGTTCTGACCAGCAATTGGCATGGGTGGGCTTATTGCCATGCATGGAATTATGAATACAAGTTGGCTGACAGTGGGAAATTTGAAGTGTAAACAGGTTTTTGTCAAAATGATTTACAATATCTACATGAGTATGTTGTTCAGGACTGATATTTGTTTGTTGGAATTTTTTATCTTGGTATTAAATAAGAACCGTCCTTTCTGCTGTAATATTTTAGAATTGAACATATCTTAAGTAAAAAAAAAAGCAAGTATTTTAACTGTTTACTACTTTTAAGAGATGTATACCACTGGATATCTTCCTGACGCCAAGAAGATGAAACTCCACATACTTATATAACTAGCAGGATGTTTTTCTTGTCTGTTTTGAATCTATTTACCGTTATTATTAAGATAAACATTCACTGCTACACTTTATATTGAACCATGTTATATGTGGTTGTATGTATTGATAAGTTTTATAATGATTGCTGTTTTTCATCAGCTATGAATGAATTTAATATTTGAAAATATTTCGAGAACAGTGAGAGATAAAAATGATTTTTCCATTCATTTATGTGAAACTTGCATGTTCAGAACTAGAGAAAAACTTTTTAAAATCTCTCAGAAGTCTCCTCTCTGCTTGGTCTATTGTCCCATATATTCTGGTACTCTTGCAAGTAGTGAATTTATTCTTTTGTCTTCAAAAAACAGAGATCTGATTTTTTTTCTTCTTTTTTTTTACTTTTTTGTTATTAAGTTTACCATACTTTCCATGAAAAACATTCTTAGTAGTTACATATTTGCTCTTTTCTCGTCTCTGATCTTCTGATGCATGATGCCCTGTTTTCCTTGTAGAACCTCTGATCCCTATCACTGACTACTGCAGGGTAGGAAAGATAATTATGGGTAACTTTTGAAACTAGTGATTCCCTTGCAGACTTCTCTGAATTTGTATTTTGTAGTAGGATTTCAAACATAATTTGTTTTTCATTCATCAATAAGTTCATTGTTAACAAACTGGAAAATATCTCATTTATAGGTCAAGTTCGAATTTTTTCATTGCTGAAAATTTTTACTGAAAACAAAAAAAAAGAAACAAGTATGTAGATTTTTCAATTTTATTTTAGGAAGGATATTACAAATGTATAATCAATTTTTTGTATTGTTTCTAACATTCTCTCCTTCTTATAAGAAAACAGGAGAGCAGACGTTTAAAAAAAAAAAAAAGACTTGTATAGTTATATTCCCATTTTTCTTGAGAAAACGGGAGAGTTATGTCCCCTGGAACCATGATTGTTGATGTGTTGCTTACATGCTTTTTATTTTGTGCTGCTTATTACCATGAAGGCGTCCTCCACTGAGTTTGACAAGTGGTACTATCGACTCCCGACACCCACACAGGTATAGGGCAGTGCCTGGTCTCATGTTGTACACTGTATTACCTCCCCTTAGTCTGTGTATAGTCGGATGAGGTGAAGCACCAGTCATTCAGCATCCCTCTAAATGGCATCATCAGCTTATCATGAATAGATTAAATGCCAAGGTTCAAAATAGGAAACAATTTTATCAATCATACTGAAACACAAGATAGTTATTAAGTAGGTTTTCTGTAATAGAAAAATATGTTGAAATAAGAAAGGTTTTAAATCTGATTCCTGTTTGGCTTCATTTCATAAAAGTTTTAAATCTGATTCCTGTTTGGCTTCATTTCATAAAAGTTTTAAATCTGATTCCTGTTTGGCTGGAGATCTGTTTTGAGTTAGCTTCAAGAAGTACAACATATTTAAATATAAAGAGATAAAATATTGATAAGGGCTCTAACTGATATGAATTAACAGCCAGGGAAGGCTGAATCTGACTGGTCCGCCATTTGTTTATATTGTATTCTGGGTATATTCTGCAGAAGTTCTATGATTTTGTGTAAAATATTTTGTAGTATTCTGCTCTTTATTTGTGTAGCAAGGGAGGGCTTTGTGCCGATTTGTCTATTTCTTGAAAGTTTATGTCATTTTATTTCCAAATATTTTGTTTTGTTGCTGCAATGCATCTTGTGAATGTTCTGATGCATTGTGGGATTGGCAATTTTTTGTTTTTTGTTGCTATGATTTCTTTGCTGTGCGAGAAGCTCAATACAGAGAATGATTGTCTTAGTCGCAGTATCTCCATAGTTCTTCATAAATAGTGTAGGAAATTATAATCTATATATCAATATAAAAAAGATATTTTATTTGTAGTGTATATATGACATATGTATCTTTTTGCATTGGGTTTGTGTGTGCTGGAATATTAAAGCTGAAGACATGTTACATAAATTACTCTTACCATTAAGTTATTTAGACAAAGAAATTCCAGTATAGATAAAACCTTTGTAAAATGTAATCACAATTGATGAAATACTAGAATTAAAATGTAGTGAATATTATAGAGTGTATAAAAAGTGGTATTTAGTGTTTCTTTCTGTTCTGTCTCTGCTCCGTGTTGATTGGTTGATCTAGTCAACCAATAAGGATCAGGGTACTTGTAGCTCCTCTTCCACTCCCCCTCCTAACCACCCGGACATACAGGTAATCCTTATCTCGTGTTTGACCTTGTCAGTTGCTTTTGTTGATATTTGGGCTTATTTTGCACCCATTTATTTTTTTGTATTGCTGATAAATTGTGCTTACAGTAATATGAAATACATGTCAGGGTTAACATTGAGTAGTTCATTTGCTCAGTTATAATTGTTTGTGATATTTTGTGATCCTGTCTAAGTATATGGTTTCTCATTCTCATCATATCACACAGAGGAGCACATAAAAGTACTTTGATAGATTTTTTAATTTTGAATTCTATATATATTATATTTTCAGAATCTCTCAACATCTTTGATTTATCTTTACCCAAATAGTATCATAATATCAGTGAGAGGGTCAAAGGTCACATTTGACAACTTCTGCAAATTTATCAAACAATGATTCTTCTCTTCATGGGATTGGGGGTTTTAATTACAAATAATTTCTATTTTCGATGTCATATTATTAAAGGCTGTTTTCTGGTAATGTGTTAATTGTACGGCCATGTTTGTATATTAAATATTATCATGATGGTTTCATGTTTTTATAGGGACACCATTCATTCATTAGCCATCCTAATTACTTTTCTTTTTAAAACATAAACTGTATGTTTCTCTTTTTATATATTATTGATGGCATCTGTCAACTTTTGTGATGTTGTCTACTTGTTTGTTGTTTTTCATTTATGTCATATATATGTAGTTGTTCAGAAGTTATATATCAAATGTTGTTTCATTCATTCGTGTCATATATATGTAGTTGTTAAGAAGTTATATACCAAATCATCATTTATTTTCAAATTCTTATTCAGTTGAAAAAATATTTTTTGGTGTTTCCTGTTTGGCTTTCATACTTCATCGTAAAATGTTTAAATTGTTTTCTAGAATGGCAGAGTAGGTCAAACTGAATTATGACAATGGTAGTCACTATATATGTATACCATTTGTATGTAAACAGACCCAGAAGATATCATAATGTGATGATATCCTTACTATAACAAGTCATAATTAAAAGATATAATTGATATTTATTCATGTTTCGTGGAAGGTTTACCCCAATTTCTGAAGTGAAAACCACACTTTTTCAGCAAGGAACATACCAAGTAAGGTGGACAGTAGTCTATTTTGCCATGTAATTAACGTCATAATTGATGAATAATCCATTTCATGATATCAATTTCAATTACCATCAGGTTGACAAAATGATATATTTGTTTTTTTTTATATCATAAGACTTTAAACGTGTTTTTTTTTTAAATTCTCTTGTCCTCTTTAGGTAACTTACTTGATAAGGTTTACCAGGACATCCACATTCACCTAGTGTTAATTTCACTTTCCTAGTGAAAACAGTTTATCAAGTTAAATTGTAGGCTCTCTGAAATATTGGTGTTTCAATTCAATACATCACAGAAATGTGTGTTGCTATTCAATGTCTGTGACAGTTGATATTATGATAGATGTGATGATTTGTTTGTTCATCACTTACTGTTAGAAGCTCATGTTATCATGTGTACATTGTTATATCTTGTGTCAAGAGCTATCTCTGTGACTACCTGTATAAACATCTCTTGTTTACATCCAACATGTCATCAACGTTAGGATAGAGTCATGTCAATATTTATCAAGTCATTACATAATTAGATACACAATGTGGAGTACTGCATGCTACAATCTATTATTATGCATGTCCTGTAATTATGATTCTGGTTAATTAGTTGGTATAAAAAGTTATCCCCTTTTTATCAAGAAGAGGAAATGTCTACATATATTGATTTGATCTAGTATGGAAATTAAACCTTGTCAAATAAGTCAGTGTTGTTGTATAAAAGGGATGTAAACTCTCTTTGTTATTTAAAAGAAAAGTTCAGAAATAGATATTGATAATAGATGTTTTAATACTTATTAATGTGTTAGTAAAGGAACCAGGGTATGTGATTGTATTGTAATCAGAACTGAACATGATTGTATTATAATCAGATTTAAACATGATTGTATTGTATTATGTAGCAGTGAAGTTAGCAGTATTATAGATAAAAATTTCTTTGTTTTTCAGGACACTGCTGAAATTATCACCCTTATAGCTAGTGGATCTTACACAGACAGAAAGGAAGGTCTCATAGCCCTACAGCATCTCCTGAGGGCACATCGATATTTAAAGTAGGTCACTGCTACCATCACAGTAGTCTTAATATTGTCCGTAGCTATTGTGCCATTACTCTAAATGTAGGTCACTGCTGACATCACAGTAGTCTTGATATTGTCCGTAGCTACCATGACATTACTCTGAATGTATGTCACTGCTGACATCACAGTAGTCTTAATAATGTCCATAGCTATGGTGACATTACTCTGAATGTAGGTCACTGCTGACATCATAGTATTCTTCAGATAGATCACAGTTATCATCATGTAGCAGTCCTACAGCAGTTTCTAAAGGTACACATGTATCTAAGTAAGTCACAGCTGCCACTATAGGAATGTTTTAGCTCCTGTGACAAGTCTCATTAGTCCTTAACTATCAGTAGATCATTGTATAGGCTTCATATAAACCTGATTTACAGGCAGCATTGTCTATCTTTGTATTAGCACAAGACAATAAATCATTTCACTATCAGTGAGAAGGTAATGGATATTTAAAGTCCATTTTTGTATCAAAACCTGGAAATTGAAATGTTATTGTCTGTTTTAGTCGTGTGGAACTGAGAAAAGTGACAGAAGTGTTTGCCCGCATGTTCCATGATCCTCACAGTAAAGTAAGTGTGAATCTGATGACAGCATATTACTTGCTTAAGTCCACTCCAAGAACATATTAAATGTTACTAGGAAGATCATTTACCTGTCAGTATGATATACAAAATCTGTGAATCAATGACCTAGGGAAAAGAAGTACAGCTGCATTCTGGGATACATTTTGTATTGGTATGTCTGCAGAAGCATCTCCTGTTAGCCTCCAAATGACAGGCATACACTGTCTTAAAGATTACTCTATTATGACATTTTGGATTCGATGGTGTTTTACCATGTCATCAACTATCATTTTGTATAAGTAAGTCCTGTTTGTTGTGTATTGCAGGTGATGAGTCTATTTTTAGACACGCTCGTAGATCTGATGAATGTTCATTCTCGTGACCTAACCGATCAGCTGTATATGATAATGACACGCCTACTAATGAAGACAGGTGCCGATATGCTTGGCTCCGTCCAGGCCAAGGTTGCCCGGGCTCTCGAGGGAGTCAGGTAGGTTATTCCTGAAACACTGGTCAACATGGTCAGTTACATACAGTGGACTCAATGGTCAGTCTATAGAAAATTTTGTGTCTCCATAAGTTGGAAACTGATTGCAAATTAACATTTTGATAAGTATTTTGTTTAAAAAAGATGAACATTAAGATTTGATGATAAAATTTTTTTTACTTGCAGGGAAAACTTTCCATGTGATCAACAGTTCAGCATTTTAACGAAGTTACTTATCGATCAAACACAATCTCCTAACCTCAAGGTGAGTCCACTGCCGCACAACTTTCATCCCCAGCCCCAGTTTTTTGATGGATTGCATTTTGATTTTACAACTATAAAGTTCTGCTCTTCAATTTGACTTTTTTTTGTGCAGCTTTTCTGGTAATTTTCTGGTTGATGTTATGCATTATCTTATATAAAATGGGTAAGATACCAGGAATATTATGAGATAAATTTCCTTTAAGAGTGCTTCAACCGAACAGAACAAAAAGAGAAAGAAATGATTTTTCACAACTCTTGTTACACATTAAAGAGACTGACAACTCTTGTTACACATTAAAGAGACTGACATATCTGCGGCAGTACAGAATATTTATTAATGGCGTGTTGGCTGGACGGTACATATTTTCTGTTTGTTTTAGTGCCAGCATTGAATAATGGTTACCTTGTGCTGAAAAAACTTTATGTTGTACAGTTGTATGTGTGTAATGGCTGCCTTTGATTAGCTTTCTAGAAATGTTGATATAAGGCGTGTCCTACTTGTGTGTACTGTTGTCTGGACCCAGTTAACATGGTGTGGGACCACAGGACATTAGATTTAAAACCTTGATGACTGATTTATCACTTTTTTTTTCCTTTGAAACGTCATTGGTTTACTTTTAACAATGTTGGAATGTTGTTTTCTTAGCTTCTAATTCAGTACACCTGTTCCCCAATTAGATTATTTTCAAAATTGAACTACTGTGTCTCGATGATGTCTGTTGTATACATTTAGTTTAAAAAGACAGAACAAAACAAAAATAAAAAGTAGCCTGCTACATTGATTTGATCTACTCAACCTTTTTTGTAATATAGTAGAAACCCAGTTCCTTAATTTTCTGTGATTGCAAAACCTGTTCATGTTGCTAGGATGACCTTTGAAATTGTAAATTATGTCAGACATTCATCAAAGTGGACGCCTTTTGTAGAAACATGGCTGTATGATCGGGTGATACAATGTGCAGGTTGATTTGATATGCTATTGATTATGTGTCGGTATTTTCTCTCCCGTCTGCTTCATTTAGCCAAAGGTAACGTTATTTTCCTATACATCATGCATCCTTGTGTATTGTCTTTATGTACTTGGTGTGTGTGCTGCTATACATGTGTACAGTCTTGTCAATTATCCTGTCACATTTAGTCACTTTGACAAAACTGTGAATCCAGAATAGAAAATACCAGCTCTACGCAGATAACCAATCTGTCTGTGCTGCAGTGTTGTAGATTTCACAAAAGATATCAATCTTGCAAATTTGTCAAAGGTATTTAGAGAAATTTTGAATGCAACAAGTTCGGATGAAGAAAAAAAAACTGGCTGATTGACAAGACTAAACTGTTTCCTGTACAGCCTCCAATCATCAGATTTAGTTATTTGTACACCGACACTACACCCAAATCCATCATCACTCCAGAGGACACAACAGTTATCAGCTTCATCACACATACATCTCTTTTCACACTTCCTGAATCAAAAGGCATCGGCTTTAATTTCTGCCTAGTTCTGCCATAATGCCTTGTGCTTCAAATGCCTTCATGGATGTAGAAGCTAGTTCTTGAAGCATTGGCTAAAAGACATGGTTTAAGTCTCTAAAAGCTTGTGCTGAGGAAAGCCAAACATTGAATTTTTTGTTCACTACATGAATATTACTAGTTAGCTGATCGACTTTTAGAGTTTAAGAACAGTATACCTCAAGCTTACCGGGATGCTAATGCAGTTCTGATGTTGGAAGATGTTTTCAGTGCCTGCTAGCATTTTGTTTTAAAATTGGGTACATTAAAGCTAAAGTGCTGCTTTTTTGCCACTTTTTTGCATTGATTTTATCTTTTATTATATTCTCAGTAAAATTCACTGATACAATTATTTCTAGTATTGAGATACACATTTGATATGATCAGCTGATACAATACCTGTCAAACTAATTATTCCATGCATGCTTGTGTTAAACATACAACTTAAATATTCTGTGATTTCAGTGATGAACAATTCATTTTACACGAAAAGAAATATTCAATGTTATTTTAGTTTTCAAAAAAGTTTTCTCGAATGATCCTCCTGAATAAAACTTCTCACTAAGTACAGTGGATAAGGATTGTTTTTCTTGGTTGCCACTTTAGTAAGATTGACTGACAGGTGATTTTGGAGGTGCATCATGAAGGTTGTGCTGAAGTGTATGTGGCATGCTGGACGGTGTGTGTGTGGGTAGCATGTGTGGTGTGTTTGTACGTGTGCTGAAGTGTATGTGGCATACGTGTGAGTGAGGATAGCATGTGTGGTGTAGGGGTATATGTGTGTGTAGATGTAACATGGATGGTGGGGGATACAATCTTATAGATTATTAAGTGCAACTGGTCTTGCAGGAAACTAAAGAATATTTTGGCAGAGAAAGTGTTAGAGAACTGGATTTATGAAAACAGTGGTGGTTGTTGGTGGTGGTTGTAGCAAGTGTGCAAGATATTTTGTAAAGATTTGACTAATAAAGGCTTATTCATGTCCTTATAACCAACTGTACACATGTCAGAAACTTAGATGTTGTTTGACAGAATTATGATGTATCTTGTTGTTGAAATACTTCTCTGATTTGTGTGTGTAATTACATTGTAACTATACTCGAGACTCTTACCCCCTTTCAGATGTGTGATACCTGGTGTTTAGTTCTATTCCAGAATGTTGTATTCTGTATATCCACCTGTTGTTGTGGTTGGTCCCCTGTATATTTTGACTTTATGTGATCTGACCCCCTAATGGTCATGTGTGACAACATTCCAGACATTAAATGTCTAAATTATCGTTGGATTTTCCCGTTTGTCAAAAAAGTGTGATATATTCATAAACACATGCATGATGTATATGTATATTATTCAAACTATATATATTTTCAATGAAATAAAATACAGAGAGAATTATGCTAAACCAGAATATGTATAAATTGTATCCCTTGTGATATTAAAACGATTTCTTCTGTATGAGAAAGAAATAATCACATTCGATATTAACTCAATTTCTTTAGTATCAAGGGTGAGGGGTATTGGTTGTATCATACTAAGCATTATCTCTTATCATTGCAGGGTATTTACTCTCTCTGAGAAACCTTTCTGTTTTTCAGCAATTTCCTAGCTTCAAATCCAATTATCTATATTAAGCTTCGACAACAGTGCAGTGGCAACACATTTAGTCTAATAGCATCTGTAAAGAGATACCAGTTTGCAAATACTACTCAGAGTAGAATGGAACAAATTGAAAAAAAAAGAAAAAATAGATTTTAAGTTTGTAAAGTAAGATATCACTAGTTTCCAGTCTTACAGAAGGATTGATATGTATATGATGGTGATGACTTGCTAGATTTAATTGGTCTCTCGGTATTGTAGCTGCTAGAGTTAGAAGACTTGTTTCGATGACATTATCAGTAATATCGTATTTGTGTATTCAGGTGAAAACCAGCATCCTCCATTACATGCATGGCCTCGTGGGAGACATGGACCCATCAGACTTCATGAATTCCACTGACACACGACTCGCTTTATCTCGGATCATCAATTTCACAACGGAACCAAAGAGTGCTGACGTCCGAAAGGTATGGCAAAAAATGAGGAATGCCTGAATTGGGAAATATCTGCCCTTATAAAATAAGGCTCTGAATAGTAATAGTTTATATAAGTTCATTTGGAAACAGTTCCAGTCTTTGAGGCAGATAGTTGACTTTAAAAATATAGATTTTGCATCAAGTTAATTACTTGTGAAAGAATTATTTTCTATATTATTTGTGTTGGAGGTAATCTTTAAAAACATTTATTGCTGGCGTTTTTTGTTTGTTTTAATATTTAAACCACTGTTTTGTGTTTTGTAGGGGGCACAAGCTGTTCTCATAGCATTGTTCAACTTAAATCCTCCTGAATTCTCTGTCATGTTGTCACTGTTACCGAAAGCATTCCAGGTAAGTGTAATGTCTGTTTCTATAAGGCAAAGAGAGAGAATGTTTGATACAGGCTGTTCCATGAGGGAGGGGGAGATAATTGTGACATTTGTAAGAAAGTTTCCAGGGATAAGGTAATTATGAGCACTATGGATACTAGAAATGCCTGGCTGAACCTGCAGCCTGTAATGTTTCTAGAACAACCAGTATTGCTAACTCACTTGTTTAACCCGTTGGGATTTCCAATAACACCAGATTTCATTCAAGACGACTTGGGAACATCTCTAGATATACGTCTAATAAATCCTATTCACTCAGATATCAGTAGTCTCGCTTAACCAGACTTTTGTTGTCTGTACACCTACACATGCTGTGATCAAAGTGCTATAAATAATTACTGATATAAAGTCGTTTGTTTACTTGTGTACATGTTTTATACTCCCTGTTTTAGTGAAAACAAGTATCAAAAATGATGTGAAAAAGGTTGTTATACACATGACCCTTACTTTGACCTTTTAACCCTTGTTTTAGCTGATCACGACCTGATATTTCACTCTGAGAGCTTGGCAATACTGAATAGCCCTGATTATATCAATTTGTTACGTTATTGTCACATACAGATATCTTCTGGCTTCTGATTGGACAATACAAAGACAATGTATAACAAGGTCCTGTCATACCTTGTGTTGCCAACAATGATCTGTTTAAATGATGGACCAACTGACTTTTTTGTATACAAGTACATCCATCTTTATTCTACACAGTGTCATTTATTTGATGTGTTTTGTTTACTATAGGATAGTGCGACTAAGATTTTACATAACCACATCCGAACTGCCAGTCATGGTCACGAGAGTGAGGTCCTGTCACCACGAAACGTCACCAGTCCTCCCAAAAACAGGAGTCGACCTCCATCAAGGTCAGACCGGTAGTCACTATGGCCACCAGTTAATGCTACATTTCAATAATGTTGTTCTTAGTTTGTAATTTAATTTGGCAAATATGAAAGACCTTTTTTTCCTTACTTCAATCAACTTTGGATCAATACATTTAATACCACAATATTTGGTTTTCATTAGAATCTTTGATGCAGAATATTACTACAAGCATGCCACTTTGTGCCATTATCAATAGATTAAACCTTAGGGGAATTTTTTTTTTTTTATCATACAGAGGTGGACACAGGGACGAGGCAGAGACGGAAAACATGAATCCAGAAGATATTTACGATTCCATTAAAAAGACTTCAGCTGACATTCAAAATCTTAGTTTTAATAGTAAATTAGAAAATTATGAGGATGTTAGGAAGAAAAGAGAATTCACTTCTCAGGATAGTGGTATTCAGGATTTACGCAACGACAGTCCAGATGCTGCAGACTCGAGAAAGGGTCATTATAATCCTTCCCATTACCAGGATGAGGTGAGAGATGCTACACTGTAGACAGACCAGGAAACGAAAGTCTAGCTTTTTCAAAAGGCTGTGTTTTATAGAAGACGCCATGTATTAAAGAAACTTATAAATAATATGTTATGAATGATTCAAGACAAATTTTTGCTACATTTCTGTTTATTTTGAAGATGTTTTTTATATCCTTGAATTTTTTTTTAATTGGATTATATTTTCATATTATACATGTACATCTATCTTTGTACTGTATTTATCATCCTTTAGGTCTACTGTGCCTAACACATTACCTCTGACTGAGTCAGGGGATGGGCTTATTACTGTACCATGATTTTTTGGTAGTTGATCAGCAAGTGTGATGTGGTATATTACAAGGGGAAGACATCTAACTAGAAAGTACTGTGAACTATGTAAAATGTGTATCAGTATACTGATGGGTTTTTTTATTACCTCTGACTGAGTCAGGGGATGGGCTTATTACTGTACCATGATTTGTTGGTAGTTGATCAGTAAGTTTGATGTGGTATATTACAAGGGGAAGGAATCTAACCAGGAAGTACCGTGAGCTATGTAAAACGTGTATCAGCATACTGATGGGTTTTTTTATTGTGTAAATTACTGTTCCAGGGTACCTTGAATGGCTATAACAAGTCTCGATTAGCAGATACAGAATTTGATGATAGTGAAATGTTTAATGAAGGTAAGTTATCTGACATAAAATCTCTCAATAATCAGGCAATTTGAAATAATGTTGTCATCCAGTCTACCCCAGATTTACCATTTTCCCTTCTTCAATTTTGTGATAAAAATTTTCTGTCCCCATCTCTCATTCCTTTGTTTCAGTCAGCATCTGTCAAATAATATTTCAATCAGCAAAAAGTTGTTTCATTTTACTCTGTACAAAATCTCTTCACATTTATTTCAGTGTTCAGTTCATTCTCATAAAAAATATGACTGAAATAATTTTTTTTTTTCTCTATCCTGTCTTGGTTTTGACTTTGCTCGCTCTGTTGCATTGTCTTCTACTGTCCACTTTCTGTCTTTTGTTTTAAAGCATTTATAGTATGACTTATCACTATGCATTGAGAGCTAGCTACCATTTACATACTAAATACTATTGTAATAAATTGTCAGTTTGGGACAGATGTAGATGGGTGTTGTACTAACAGTGATGTGTCAAAGCATTTGGCCACAAATTAATCTACTACTGTATTCTATCTATTTTCACAATTTAAGAAATTTTCTGCTGTTGTCATTTTTTGATGACACATAAACATATTCAAAACTTATCAGAAAATGTATGTAATATGATTTCGGTTATAGATTGAATAAGAAATTGATTGAGTAGAAGTCACCAGGAAAAAAGAAATGGTGAAAAACATGGAATAAAAAGTGGAATAATTAATTAGTGACCAGTTAATATTGCTGTTGGCCAAGTTAGAGGGGTCTAGATTAAGGCTATGGTGATGGGCATTCATTCATTATTTGTGATTTACATTAAGGTCACATGGACCACATGATATAATTTGACTAGCCTTGTTTAGGTTATCACAGCTTCGAGCAGGGAGACAGCTTCAACAAGTTTGATGGATATTTTTTTTAATCAGGCTTTTTTACAGCAAGATTTTCACTTCATTAACGGCTAGATTTTTACAAAAGAATTCCATTTTTTCAGCCATCAGTGCTGTGACGTTTGGAGGTTTGTGTGAAAGAGATATATATATGATCACCATATTTATACCATGCAACTTGTACATTGTGTACATGCATGGCACTCTGTATAGGTGGTGATGGGATTATTTATCAGCTACTGTTTGTATGGTTAGGAGTTCTGCATCAACATCAACTTCATTTTCATTGAGCTTTTCTTGCAGTTTTTCCTTTTGTTGAATTCAACAAAATATTAAAACAGTAAAAAGCAGGAAAACTGATTTATTGAGAAAAAGAAATAGTGCTCCCACCAAAAAAACAAAACAAAATTATTAAGAAACAAGTTTTGCTTTCATCAAAAGAATGGTCTATGTATATGTGAACTGAAAATGAAAATTTTGAAAATTAAAAAAAAGTAATCTTCAGTCTTAGAACTTTCATTATAAGAAAAGGTAAGTGGATCTCTTTTGTCATACAGGATCCAAAAATATCAATAGTTTCTATATTAGATTTGAAACATGTGGCTGTGATTATGAATTTATCAAGAATGAAAAAGCATCATTGTTATGTACCTGTTTAATCAGATATTTTTAATTTTTATGTTTGAGTAATTTTTCTATTCTTATTTTTTTTGCCTTCATCTCTAAAACCTTCATTTTCAGCATCAGTATAACAATTTGGAGATGTCTTCAGATCCCCTCCACGTACTTAATGTCTATAAAGTAATTACACCATCATAAACATTGTCAACACACACTGAAGTAAAATGAGATTTCTTTCCACATTGCCCTAGTCTTATGGAAGATGAATATTTCTTTGTATTTGATAGTAAGGTGTGAAGAAGGCATCTCTGAGCTGTAGAAACATTACACCATATAATCCAGATTTGATGTAATCTTCATATCAAATGTATTATTGCATGCCGTTTTACATTCATAAGCATAAATGTGCATTATCAAGTAAACAGAGATTACTTATCAACTCTATTCACTGGATCAATTGCAGCCCCAATTGTTACTATATATAGAATAGTAACAGGGCTGTAAGTCTGATACTCTTTGTCACGTTTCCCGTTCCCAGTTTAGACTTGTACAACCTCAATCAAGTGGTTAGTTACACTATTCCATCACATGTTTTGTAATCCCGAGGTCTACTGTAAACCAGGACATTTTCACACGTTTTGTAATCCCGAGGTCTACTGTAAACCAGGACATTTTCACACGTTTTGTAATCCCGAGGTCTACTGTAAACCAGGACATTTTCACACGTTTTGTAATCCCGAGGTCTACTGTAAACCAGGACATTTTCACACGTTTTGTAATCCCGTCTACTGTAAACCAGGACATTTTCACACGTTTTGTAATCCCGAGGTCTACTGTAAACCAGGACATTTTCACACGTTTTGTAATCCCGAGGTCTACTGTAAACCAGGACATTTTCACACGTTTTGTAATCCCGAGGTCTACTGTAAACCAGGACATTTTCACACGTTTTGTAATCCCGACCTGTAAACCAGGACATTTTCACACGTTTTGTAATCCCGAGGTTTACTGTAAACCAGGACATTTTCACACGTTTTGTAATCCCGAGGTCTACTGTAAACCAGGACATTTTCACACGTTTAATTGTTACTTTTTTTCTGTCATTGATTTTGTTAGGGATTCCTTGTTGTTGATTTTGTGAGTATTTTTAAGCTGTACATTTATATGTCCACAAACTGTTTAGTATAAGTAGATTTCTGGAGACATATTCATTTACCAAATAAAATGCTCACAAAAATAGATTTTTTTTAAGAAAGTAAGTTATGCTCCACCAAAAATACATAAATACCTGGTATAATAAATATATAGGATTTTATAGTACATCTAGTAAAATTCAGTATAATGTAAATTTATCATACAAGAATGGATGGTGTGAAAATGTTGTGGTATTGTTTCTTGTTTACCTGTGTTTGTATTGTTTTTTGTTTATCTGTTTTATTGTGATGACCTGATGTCGTAAAAACAAATCATGTTCATAGTTGCTTCTTCTCAGTTGCTGTTACGTCACTATATTAAGAAATGCTCATTAAAATTGAGAAGGTCATTACATCAGACCTTACACATCATGACCTTTGGTTGTGCACTCTATGACCCAAGCTTATTGCTGCGCTGTTTGATCGTTAGGTTTCATGTGTCTTTTAACTAGATCCCTGGAAAGCATTGCTTGGTATATCAAGTACCAGCACCGATGGTATGTCAAGACACTTTTCAGTTCATTTTATCACATCTTTTTTATAATCATTTTCTCCTTCATAAGATGTGTTTGTTTTCACTGTTTGTTGTTTTCAGTCCTTCGAATGTCTTTCCAATCCCTTGTGTTGTAACCACCCTGCAATTTTAACCTTCCTTTCCTCAGTATGCCTTGGAACATTTGAATGTTTTGAATGGGAATTATGGAGTTTCTTCCCTTTATGTGGTAGTAACTAATACTCACCACAGTTTTCACAACTATGGACAATATCTATAAGATTCGTTTACATGGCATATTAAATTCAGTTGATAAATAAAAAAAAAAGTAGGGATTTTGAGATTTTTACACAAGTATCAATGAAAATTCTTTAGAATGATTAAATTATTGAGACTATAGATGCTGACAGACACTGGTTGGTTATGAGTCTGTGGTCTTTGACAACAGTGAAAACAAGTTAGCAGTAGAATCAGAACATTATTGGTATAAGGAACACACTTTAGGTAGCCATGAAAACAATACATTTCACGAAATTCACACTACCTATGTTCATTGCATGTTTCCTAACATTTGCATGACTGACTGACAATGAAAACTGGTGTCTTGTCTGGGCTTCTTTGATATTTCTGTATCAGACTTTATTAGTAATGATCTGTCATTTATGCACCATCTCTCACCAGTGGAATGAGGACATTTCAATATATAAAAGTATTGGTGACAGTTATGGTATAATGTTGTACTGGAAGGGGATGTGATTGGTTGTAGCATGTTCTTTGTAAGGGGGGTAACTCCTCAGTTTGGAGTTGGTGGACAATTTATACAGCATAGTGATATTCTATGTAAATAAATTATGTACCATGTACCTACATCACATAGCATATACATATGTACCATCAGTTCATTTCATATAGATTCATAAGATTTCATGGAATTTCCTAGATGGCACTGAGCACACTATCAGTGTCTTCAGTAGCGAAACACTTGTAGAGAGGCATGTAACACTTTGTTAGTTGTATAGATCAGTAACTTGCTACAGCCACTGCTGGTGATGTTGAGAATATTGGTTCAGTTATTTTCAGAAAAAACATGGAGTTAAAAAAGATGATATACAGGCTTTGTATTTTTTATATTGTAATCTTTTTTTTTTAAAGAATTACAGTAATTCAGATTTCTTTCATTTAGACAGATACATCATTATTTTGCTGCTAAGCTTCAGTTTTGTACATCTTTGTTGCTTTCTAAAATCATACGTTTTAGCATTATAGAAAAATGCTTTTTGTATTCAGTGATAACTATTTTCTGTCAGTTTTATTTTCCGTCTTTATGTATGAATAGTCTATATCTACCCGAGTGTTTCAGCACCTCATGGGTCCTTGACGGGCCAGATATATATACATTTCTGACGATTTTCAGATACAAAAAAGCATTTCAGACAGTTGTTTTTCTTCTTTTGCAGAATGCTCAGAAAACGATATTATATCAGACATCCTTACCGAGTTATCAAATCATAATGAAAGGTAGGTATATATAATGTATTGTACCAGTACCATGTACATGTCCGCAGGTACTTTTTGGGGTCAAAAATACGGAAAAATGCTTCTACTTACATCATGTGTGCACCCAAGAAATTGATCTTGCGTTGTTTAGCTAACACATCACACCAACAATATTTTGTCTTAAAATTGAAAGTGTTCTCATCAAAATTTGTTTTCATCTCGTTTATTGTGTCGTTAATCACCTTTCTTTAAATATAGGTACAGTACAATTGAAGAAAACAGATCTGCCTGATATGTGTACTTCTTGTTTGTTTTTGTTGACATCAGACACATTATGGTGTAGCATTTACTCACATTTCCAATTAACCCAGATTTACTTCTCTTTTGTACACAAATACTTGTCTTCACACTAGGCTTAATCAACAGTGTTAAGTGTTGAAATCACAAGTTCTAGTAATTATCTACCTGTTGATGGCTAAATCGGGTAATTACAATCACCACTGGTCAAGTTTTCTATTATGTCTCGCTGTCACATTTTACGCAGCTGACAATGATTGTGGCCCCAACTCTGTATATGCATGTGATTGGTATATGGATCATCGAATCTACTGTATACGTATGCATATATGTATTACCAAAACAAGTGTTTTGCTCCACATTTTGGTCAGATTGCACCAAGGCTATCCCTAATTATTAAGATGATTAAGTTGTTGTTTGACTCATAGATCTGTTTAGTAAGCACCAATTAGACCAATTTTAATAAATAAAACATTAAATCTTTAGTGCGATAATAGGTGCTATCATGATTTTAAACACTTTTTACTGACTTCGGATGATGTTGACTCAGATGGTTGTGCATTGTCCTGACTTTGGATGATGTTGACTCAGATGGTTTTGCATTGTCCTGACTTTGGATGATGTTGACTCAGATGGTTTTGCATTGTCCTGACTTTGGATGATGTTGACTCAGATGGTTTTGCATTGTCCTGACTTTGGATGATGTTGACTCAGATGGTTTCCATTGTCCTGACTTTGGATGATGTTGACTCAGATGGTTTCCATTGTCCTGACTTTGGATGATGTTGACTCAGATGTTTTCCATTGTCCTGACTTTGGATGATGTTGACTCAGATGTTTTCCATTGTCCTGACTTTGGATGATGCTGACTCAGATGGTTGTGCATTGTCCTGACTTTGGATGATGTTGACTCAGATGGTTTTGCATTGTCCTGACTTTGGATGATGTTGACTCAGATGGTTTCCATTGTCCTGACTTTGGATGATGCTGACTCAGATGGTTGTGCATTGTCCTGACTTTGGATGATGTTGACTCAGATGGTTGTGCATTGTCCTGACTTTGGATGATGTTGACTCAGATGGTTTTGCATTGTCCTGACATGGATTTGACTCAGATGGTTTTGCATTGTCCTGACTTTGGATGATGTTGACTCAGATGGTTTTGCATTGTCCTGACTTTGGATGATGTTGACTCAGATGGTTTTGCATTGTCCTGACTTTGGATGATGTTGACTCAGATGGTTTTGCATTGTCCTGACTTTGGATGATGTTGACTCAGATGGTTTTGCATTGTCCTGACTTTGGATGATGTTGACTCAGATGGTTTTGCATTGTCCTGACTTTGGATGATGTTGACTCAGATGGTTTCCATTGTCCTGACTTTGGATGATGTTGACTCAGATGGTTTCCATTGTCCTGACTTTGGATGATGTTGACTCAGATGGTTGTGCATTGTCCTGACTTTGGATGATGTTGACTCAGATGGTTTTGCATTGTCCTGACTTTGGATGATGTTGACTCAGATGGTTTCCATTTTTCTGACTTTGGATGATGTTGACTCAGATGGTTTTGCATTGTCCTGACTTTGGATGATGTTGACTCAGATGGTTTTGCATTGTCCTGACTTTGGATGATGTTGACTCAGATGGTTTTGCATTGTCCTGACTTTGGATGATGTTGACTCAGATGGTTTTGCATTGTCCTGACTTTGGATGATGTTGACTCAGATGGTTTTGCATTGTCCTGACTTTGGATGATGTTGACTCAGATGGTTTCCATTGTCCTGACTTTGGATGATGTTGACTCAGATGGTTTCCATTGTCCTGACTTTGGATGATGTTGACTCAGATGGTTTTGCATTGTCCTGACTTTGGATGATGTTGACTCAGATGGTTTTGCATTGTCCTGACTTTGGATGATGTTGACTCAGATGGTTTCCATTGTCCTGACTTTGGATGATGTTGACTCAGATGGTTTCCATTGTCCTGACTTTGGATGATGTTGACTCAGATGGTTTTGCATTGTCCTGACTTTGGATGATGTTGACTCAGATGGTTTCCATTGTCCTGACTTTGGATGATGTTGACTCAGATGGTTGTGCATTGTCATGTTTTTGGATGATGTTGACTCAGATGGTTGTGCATTGTTCTGACTTTGGATGATGTTGACTCAGATGGTTGTGCATTGTCCTGACTTTGGATGATGTTGACTCAGATGGTTGTGCATTGTCCTGACTTTGGATGATGTTGACTCAGATGGTTGTGCATTGTCCTGACTTTGGATGATGTTGACTCAGATGGTTGTGCATTGTCCTGACTTTGGATGATGTTGACTCAGATGTTTTCCATTGTTCTGACTTTGGATAATGTTGACTCAGATGGTTGTGCATTGTCCTTACTTTGGATAATGTTGACTCAGATGTTTTCCATTGTTCTGACTTTGGATAATGTTGACTCAGATGGTTGTGCATTGTCCTGACTTTGGATGATGCTGACTCAGATGGTTGTGCATTGTCCTGACTTTGGATGATGTTGACTCAGATGGTTGTGCATTGTCCTGACTTTGGATGATGTTGACTCAGATGGTTGTGCATTGTCCTGACTTTGGATAATGTTGACTCAGATGGTTTGCATTAATATATACATTAATTATCTTATTTATTGTTGTTGTTCATAAATAAATCATCAAATCATTCTAATGTCAGTTTTGAGTACCAGATATCCTGACAATCAATGATTTCACTTTCACAGAATCTTTGATATTTTTTTAAATTGAAAGACGTTAACGCTACATAATTTGCGCAACCCTCCAACCCCCCACTACTTTGGACATTGTGCACATTCTATGGGTTTTTACATTAAGGAAAAGAAAAATGAATATCAAGTCATCATCAATTTTTGTTTTGATTGTCAGTAGCTTTTACCATTGTATGCATTGAACTATACATGTTGTACTGTTTTCTAGAGGAAAAGTTGTTACTGGAGCAAAGTAATCTGAAATACCTTAGATTTAAGATAATATCTGTGACAAAGCCATTCCCTTTGTGTCATGCATGAATTGTCTGCTAATTTTGTGTCTTTGTCAGTATGTGGATCTGTGTTGACATATCTGCAAGTGATACACTGTTCATCTCTAACACCATGTTTGTTTATATTGTAGGAATGATGAACGTAAGAATGCCATGTTGTCTCTGATAAAACTCACCAGGGAAGGTACATTTGGTCTGTGGGACGAACACTTCAAAACAATCCTGTTGATTCTGCTGGAGACGCTGGGCGACAATGATGTTAGTGTCTGTCTACTTACATTACCTGTAGTATACTTCATACATTTGGAACCTTTATCAGGCATATTTGAGGTCCAATAGCAATTTCTTTACCAGCTAGATTTACAAAACAGTATAAGTCCCGAGGGACTTCAAGTATAGATATTAAATAGAACAGTGTTCTTTATCACCAAGTCCACGATATGGTATTGCCTGTCAAATGTTGTTTGAATGTTTTAACATCTTATACTAGCATGGGCTTTAGCTGTCCCTTGTTCATCTTTACAGGGGCAAGTACGAGCCTTAGCACTACGGGTATTAAGAGAAATTTTACGAAATCAGCCTCAGCGATTTAGAGATTATGCAGAACTGACAACACTTCGCATTCTGGAGGCACATAAAGATTCAGTGCGGGAGGTAAGGATAGAAATGTATAATTACGTATATAGTTTGTGTTTTTCCCTAGTCGTGGGAAGAACTCAGGTCAACTGTCCTGGCTATAACCAGTTTTCTTGTTTTGTCATTACATGCATTCCTAAATAAATTAAGATAATTCTGAGATAAAAGTTGAGTATGAAGGGAGACAACTCTCATGGCCTTGTAGGCTCTTTTAGGTGGATATGGTCATTGATGTTTTTCTCATGGCAGTAAAAAGTATGTCTAAGCCTTTCATGATATCATGTTATTTAAAGAATTATGGCCTGTGTTTGCTTATGTGGCCTTTTGTTTGTCTAGGTGGTACGATCTGCAGAGGAGTGCGCAGACACACTGGCCAACTACATCCCTCCAGAACAGAGTGTACGCATCCTCAACCCTATCATACAGACGGCACAATTCCCCATCAACCTTGCCGCCATCAAGATGCAGAATAAGGTTAGAGGTCTAAAGCTGTATAAATAAAACAATATTTGAAATAACTTGAAAGTTGAAATAAGCAACTAAATTACTTGGAGCGGTTCTGTCATTTGATACAGGATAATACAATTATCAAAAATTGGTCAAGGAGCTGTAACGGACCAGAATTACTGGATTTGCTGTAGTTTGGCAAAGATAGAAAGTGTGTATTTTTACATGATAGATAGAAATCATGAAATGAATTAATTTTGGTTTTGTGTACTTTGGAACCTATATATATTATCCTGTTTTAACATCTGAGATGTTGCCTTGTGTATGTTACAGGTGATAGAACTATTACCTAAGGAGACAGTGGAGTCCATGATGGGGGAGATGATCCCAGGACTACTAAGGGTACGTACTGTAGAGGACTTTAAAGAAATGGAAGAATGGTGCAAAATATCAGAAGAAAGGCAGTACATTGTAATGAAGCATTCAGAACATTTCTTTTAAGAAAAACAATATTTGTAAGGATGAATGCAAATATAATGTTTGGGGAAAAAACACTGGTAACTATATATGTAGACTCGTGTTATGGAGTGATGTAAGTGATTTAACGATGTTGTGTTTGTAGGGGTATGATGACCAACAGAGTACCGTGAGGAAGGCTGCCGTGTTCTGCCTAGTGTCCATATATCTCACAGTGGGGGAAGTCATTTGGAATCACTTAACTAAACTCAACTATAGCAAGGTATGTACCTTCAGCTACTTACCAGTATCCCCACCTCCACTAAATACTCTTGACATCACCAAACTTAACTTTAGCAAGGTTCATATCCTCAGCTACTTGCCTCTATCCCCACCCCCACTATACCCTCATAACGTCCTACAACCCGCCCATATCATTTCACCACTCCCATTTTACCCAACTTATCCATTTAAAAATAAACCTATATTTGATTCCCGCCATCTAACCTTGTCTTTCTTCTCTGTAAGATAAAGTAGGTGCCACACCTTCTAAACCCCTCCCAGATCCTCTCCCCAGCCTGTATTCTATCTCAGACATTGACAATTTCAGCTGGAGCTAGTATAATACCTCTACTGTCAGTCTGTTTGTCTATACTGGTCATGCCATGTCTGTAGATCACCGTCCTTGCCGATCTGTGAGTTTTAGTTTTGACAGCTGGTGTATTTGTGGTTTCAATGGACACATCCAGCAGGGTAATTTTGGGAGATCAGCTGTTCAGATACTACAGATGGAAATTATAACAATGTGGTCTTGACTTAGGAGTACATAGACAGGACAAGAATGATTAATGATTTCTCATTAGTCTGGGACACCTAGAGTCATCTCCCTTGGTACCTGCTGCCTTATGGGTGTCCTGTTCAAGGGTACTCATATGTGTTGTCTGTATATGTATAAATTTGTTGTCTCATAGGTACTTGAGGAGATGGAATATATTGAGTAGAAACTAAGTACATAGAGAGGCCTCTATTGGTACTGACTACTGTGTGAGTGCCCCTTACACAATTAATCTTGTGTTCTTTGTTTGACAATAAAGTTCTCTCACACTCAAGTATATGAAACATACTGACTTCCCTTGAATTGTAATGTGTGTATCCTAATGGGTATGGGGACTAGCTGTTATCCGTATCCCTCATCAAATCCAATACCTTAAACTGTTTACCTGTCTGTGGCTTGAAAACCGTTCAGAAACATTCAACCTTACTCTTAGTGTCAGATATTTGTTGTCATTATATAGAGGTTTTTGTTAAAAATCAGTATAGTGAAGGAAATTAGAGTATGTAATGGGAAAATGAGGGAATCTAAAATGAATGGCAGTAAACTAGATGGCATTATATGAAGGGATGTATTTTGAATTAGCTGCATTATAAGCAGGTTCTCTGTTGGAAAGAAAGTATTTCTTAATGAAGAGAAGATTGATGAAGGAATAAGTGTTTATATTAAGGTATATCATTTTGCTAATAAGACAAGTTATATAAGGCTTTACTGAATGTTAGGAGTGAAGGAGTTATATAAGGCTTTACTGAATGTTAGGAGTCAAGGCTTTACTGAATGTTAGGAGTGTAGGATTTACTGAATGTTAGGAGTGAAGGCTTTACTGAATGTTAGGAGTGAAGGAAATATATAAGGCTTTACTGAATGTTAGGAGTGAAGGCTTTACTGAATGTTAGGAGTGAAGGCTTTACCGAATGTTCGAAGTGAAGACTTTACCGAATGTTAGGAGTGAAGGCTTTACTGAATGTTAGGAGTGAAGGAGTTATATAAGACTTTACTGAATGTTAGGAGTGAAGGCTTTACCGAATGTTAGGAGTGAAGGCTTTACCGAATGTTAGGAGTGAAGGCTTTACTGAATGTTAGGAGTGAAGGAGTTATATAAGACTTTACTGAATGTTAGGAGTGAAGGCTTTACCGAATGTTAGGAGTGAAGGCTTTACTGAATGTTAGGAGTGAAGGAGTTATATAAGACTTTACTGAATGTTAGGAGTGAAGGCTTTACTGAATGTTAGGAGTGAAGGCTTTACTGAATGTTAGGAGTGAAGGAGTTATACGGCTTTACTGAATGTTAGGAGTGAAGGCTTTACCGAATGTTAGGAGTGAAGGCCTTACTGAATGTTAGGAGTGAAGGCTTTACTGAGATTTAGGAGTGAAGGCTTTACTGAATGTTAGGAGTGAAGGCTTTACTGAATGTTAGGAGTGAAGGCTTTACTGAATGTTAGGAGTGAAGGCTTTACTGAATGTTAGGAGTGAAGGCTTTACTGAATGTTAGGAGTGAAGGAGTTATATAAGGCTTTACTGAATGTTAGGAGTGAAGGCCTTACTGAATGTTAGGAGTGAAGGCCTTACTGAATGTTAGGAGTGAAGGCTTTACTGAATGTTAGGAGTGAAGGAGTTATATAAGGCTTTACTGAATGTTAGGAGTGAAGGCTTTACTGAATGTTAGGAGTGAAGGAGTTATATAAGGCTTTACTGAATAATAGGAGTGAAGGCCTTACTGAATGTTAGGAGTGAAGGCTTTACTGAATGTTAGGAGTGAAGGCTTTACTGAATGTTAGGAGTGAAGGAGTTATATAAGGCTTTACTGAATGTTAGGAGTGAAGGCTTTACTGAATGTTAGGAGTGAAGGCTTTACTGAATGTTAGGAGTGAAGACTTTACTGAATGTTAGGAGTGAAGGCCTTACTGAATGTTAGGAGTGAAGGCTTTACTGAATGTTAGGAGTGAAGACTTTACTGAATGTTAGGAGTGAAGGCTTTACTGAATGTTAGGAGTGAAGGCTTTACTGAATGTTAGGAGTGAAGTCTTTACTGAATGTTAGGAGTGAAGGCTTTACTGAATGTTAGGAGTGAAGACTTTACTGAATGTTAGGAGTGAAGGCTTTACTGAATGTTAGGAGTGAAGACTTTACTGAATGTTAGGAGTGAAGGCTTTACTGAATGTTAGGAGTGAAGGCCTTACTGAATGTTAGGACTGAATGTTAGGAGTGAAGGCTTTACTGAGATTTAGGAGTGAAGGCTTTACTGAATGTTAGGAGTGAAGGAGTTATATAAGGCTTTACTGAATGTTAGGAGTGAAGGCTTTACTGAATGTTAGGAGTGAAGGCCTTACTGAATGTTAGGAGTGAAAGCTTTACTGAATGTTAGGAGTGAAGGCTTTACTGAATGTTAGGAGTGAAGGCTTTACTGAATGTTAGGAGTGAAGACTTTACTGAATGTTAGGAGTGAAGGCTTTACTGAATGTTAGGAGTGAAGGCTTTACTGAATGTTAGGAGTGAAGGCTTTACTGAATGTTAGGAGTGAAGGCTGAAGTTAGGAGTGAAGACTTTACTGAATGTTAGGAGTGAAGACTTTACTGAATGTTAGGAGTGAATGCCTTACTGAATGTCAGGAGTGAAGACTTTACTGAATGTTAGGAGTGAAGGCTTTACTGAATGTTAGGAGTGAAGACTTTACTGAATGTTAGGAGTGAAGGCTTTACTGAATGTTAGGAGTAAAGGCTTTACTGAATGTTAGGAGTGAAGGCTTTACTGAATGTTAGGAGTGAAGACTTTACTGAATGTTAGGAGTGAAGGCTTTACTGAATGTTAGGAGTGAAGACTTTACTGAATGTTAGGAGTGAAGTCTTTACTGAATGTTAGGAGTGAAGGCTTTACTGAATGTTAGGAGTGAAGGCTTTACTGAATGTTAGGAGTGAAGGCTTTACTGAATGTTAGGAGTGTAGGATTTACTGAATGTTAGGAGTGAAGGCTTTACTGAATGTTAGGAGTGAAGACTTTACTGAATGTTAGGAGTGAAGGCTTTACTGAATGTTAGGAGTGAAGGCTTTACTGAATGTTAGGAGTGAAGACTTTACTGAATGTTAGGAGTGAAGGCTTTACTGAATGTTAGGAGTGAAGGCCTTACTGAATGTTAGGAGTGAAGGCTTTACTGAATGTTAGGAGTGAAGGCCTTACTGAATGTTAGGAGTGAAGGCTTTACTGAATGTTAGGAGTGAAGACTTTACTGAATGTTAGGAGTGAAGGCTTTACTGAATGTTAGGAGTGAAGGCTTTACTGAATGTTAGGAGTGAAGACTTTACTGAATGTTAGGAGTGAAGACTTTACTGGATGTTAGGAGTGAAGGCCTTACTGAATGTTAGGAGTGAAGGCCTTACTGAATGTTAGGAGTGAAGGCTTTACTGAATGTTAGGAGTGAAGGCTTTACTGAATGTTAGGAGTGAAGACTTTACTGAATGTTAGGAGTGAAGGCCTTACTGAATGTTAGGAGTGAAGACTTTACTGAATGTTAGGAGTGAAGGCCTTACTGAATGTTAGGAGTGAAGGCCTTACTGAATGTTAGGAGTGAAGGCCTTACTGAATGTTAGGAGTGAAGGCTTTACTGAGATTTAGGAGTGAAGGCTTTACTGAATGTTAGGAGTGAAGGAGTTATATAAGGCTTTACTGAATGTTAGGAGTGAAGGCTTTACCGAATGTTAGGAGTGAAGACTTTACTGAATGTTAGGAGTGAAGGCTTTACTGAATGTTAGGAGTGAAGACTTTACTGAATGTTAGGAGTGAAGGCTTTACTGAATGTTAGGAGTGAAGGCTTTACTGAATGTTAGGAGTGAAGACTTTACTGAATGTTAGGAGTGAAGGCTTTACTGAATGTTAGGAGTGAAGACTTTACTGAATGTTAGGAGTGAAGACTTTACTGAATGTTAGGAGTGAAGGCTTTACTGAATGTTAGGAGTGAAGGCTTTACTGAATGTTAGGAGTGAAGACTTTACTGAATGTTAGGAGTGAAGACTTTACTGAATGTTAGGAGTGAAGGCTTTACTGAATGTTAGGAGTGAAGGCCTTACTGAATGTTAGGAGTGAAGGCTTTACTGAATGTTAGGAGTGAAGGCTTTACCGAATGTTAGGAGTGAAGACTTTACTGAATGTTAGGAGTGAAGGCCTTACTGAGATTTAGGAGTGAAGGCTTTACTGAATGTTAGGAGTGAAGGCTTTACTGAATGTTAGGAGTGAAGGCTTTACTGAATGTTAGGAGTGAAGACTTTACTGAATGTTAGGAGTGAAGACTTTACTGAATGTTAGGAGTGAAGGCTTTCCTGAATGTTAGGAGTGAAGGCCTTACTGAATGTTAGGAGTGAAGACTTTACTGAATGTTAGGAGTGAAGGCTTTACTGAATGTTAGGAGTGAAGGCCTTACTGAATGTTAGGAGTGAAGGCCTTACTGAATGTTAGGAGTG